TTCCTGCTGTGACAGCTAGCTGCTTCTCTGTGGATGCTCTCCTTTGTTATCTAAACCATATGAAAGTCTTTCCCATTTTCTTTTGGCACCTGCAGCATTCTTCATGTTTACATTTAGTGGGCACGATATCCGACATTGAGCAAGCCTCTGTGTTTTTTGCACATACCGCTCATAAAAGTATTAAATTGCTTATTATAACAATGTGACTGTGACTGGTTTTCATGGCCTGCTCCCTCTGCATTATTAGGTGCATCTGGGTGCCTGATATGCCCTCAGGCTGGAGCCACTGTTGCCCCCCGCTGATCTCTGTTCTCTGTTTACTGTTGTTGGATCGCTGGTGCCACAAGCATCCAAATCCTTGACTGAAATGATTCAAAATTTCACTTAAGGCAACTGAAATGAGTATTCAGTGTATTCAGAAGTAGCAAAAGTTATACTGTAAAGCCAATAGTGAAGATAGTAGAGTTTAGTTGTGCTGTTGGGGGGGTGCCCATCTGTCCTCGGGTTAGGGATTATCATGCTTCCAGATCAGTTCAAACAAGGAAAGAGAAAACAGCGGACAGAAGGAAGTGGCGAAGGGAGGGAGAAATGAAGCAAACAAAGTCAAAGAGAACAGAAAAGAAAGAAAGGGAAGGAGACAAAGGAGGGAACGACCAGGTGTGCGGTGTAACACAGCTGATCATCTCTGCTGCTGTGTGTTGCAGGTGTAACTACGGCTGGCAGGGTCCATTCTGTGACAAGTGTTTGCCATATCCCGGCTGCGTCCATGGAACCTGCGACGAACCCTGGAAGTGCACCTGTGAGAAGAACTGGGGAGGGCTGCTCTGTGATAAAGGTCCGCTTCCAAATATCACAGGTTCTACATGAAAAAGTGAAACAGCAGCTGAATGAATGAATGAATGAATAATATAATGCTAATCACTTTTATTGGCCAGATATGTTACACACACAAGGAACTTGTCTCCGGTATAGAACTGTAGGATTTTTTTGATTTTTTTTTTTGTTTTGTTACATCAAGACACACAGTGGGTTATGTCAGTGCTCTGTCCTGTGCAGATCTGAACTACTGTGGGACCAACCGGCCCTGTAAGAATGGAGGCACGTGTATGAACACAGAGCCAGATGAGTACAACTGCGCCTGTCCAGACGGCTACTCGGGCAAGAACTGTGAGATTGGTGAGTGTATAAATGGAATGCAACTGGAAACCAGGTTTCAAGTCTAAGGTCTGAGGAGTTGGATAGACTGATAGACGCTTTATGGAAATTCCTAATTTTCTGTTTCTTAATCCGGTGTTGTATCTCAGCGGAACACGCCTGTGCGTCCAACCCCTGTGCCAACGGGGGGACTTGCCATGAAGTCCCATCAGGCTTTGAGTGTCACTGTCCGGCAGGCTGGTCTGGGCCAACCTGTGCTAAAGGTGAGAGTCTCGAAGCAAGTAAAGTTCAGTTAAGTCTTCCACAGATGAGACAGTGAGATTTACCAACTATTCAGACATATTACTGAAAGTGACAGATTTACTTTCTCCAGTCACTTGGTGAAAGTGGTTATATTTGAGTTTCAGCTGATGTTATTTTTAGACTTTATGCTGTTATTGTATTAAAATCTTGTAAATCACATACAGGATTTTATTTCTCTCTACTCTCTGTTACCACACTATAGATGCAGTAAAGTTGAACTAAACAGAGAGATTTTAACATCAAGAAACAGGTTAATTTAGCTGCCACTTCAACTATTTTACCAGCGTAATGTTTGGCCTTAAAGGGACCAGCAGCATCCTTTCAAAGTGATTAGTCAAAGTTAGCTCAGTGTTGCCAGATTTTTGCTGTGGCGAGTACAGATTTCTCAAAGTCAGACATATGAAACCAGAGCGTATAGTAGACTTTAGGCAGGAATATTAATGTATTTATTATGTGGCTTTAATATGGCCTTGTTGGTTTTTCAGACACAGATGAATGTGCTTCCAGCCCCTGTGCTCAGGGCGGGACCTGCATCGACATGGAGAACAGTTTTGAATGCCTCTGCCCTCTACAGTGGACGGGCAAGACCTGCCAGATAGGTAAGTGTCCAAGTCTAAGTAATCATCTAACTATTGATTGCTATGGTGTAAACAAAGACAGTAATACATGAGCCTTTTTAATTTGAGTAGGCTCATTGGTGCGTCTGCAGATTTATTGGCTGTTAAACATGAAGTGTTGTTTCTCCACATTAAAATTATAGGATTTGGGGAGGTGCTTGTACATGAATAGATCATATTTAAAAAATCTTATACTGTTGAATGTTGTGTGATATTTTGTTGTGGTGACGCCCGTGTGTTTCCCGAGTGTGTTGCACCTATAGCGAATGCCATGTGTCTGAATTAATTCCAGGAATCCATTTGCTTGCAGAGTTACAGCATATCTGACTGTTTGTTTATGGTGTCGTGTCCTTTAACCAGTAGCGTTGCTGCAGGAGGGCCACTAATTTCAAATGTGTGTTTGTGTATGTAAGCTCTGAGCGGAGACACTTGCTTGGGTATCCTCTGCGACTCAAGCCAGGTGACCTGAGTAAAGCTAAAAATAACGTCCCGCCTGGCAACTGCTGGCCTTCAGACCAAATATACTCTGCTGGGGGGTTATCTTTGGCTCCAGACTGGGCATAACAGGGGGCTATGTACACTACGGTGAGGCAATGTCCCAGCATAGCAGAGCCCTTGCCCCCTTTGACTTCAGCCAGGAAACACTTTTTAAACTGTAATCATGTGTGGGGAGTAACCAAAACGCAGCGGCTTATGTTACAGATTCTGGTATTCTCCGAGCACCTTCCCATTTCAGGGAACGAGGTGGAACCTAGGAAAGAGCGGGATGTGGTGGAAGGGCAGTGGGTTGGGTTTTGGGAAGGGGTTCAGGGTGTTTAGTTTCAGCAGGCCAACAGGTGCCGCTTACCTCCTGGGAGTAGTATTAACGGACTGTGTTGGTTTATAGTGACCAGCGGGCGCGGCGGGCACGGTGAGTGCTGTCTCTGAAACTGATCACTTGGAATTCCACAGGTTGGCCTTTGGGGAATGCAATAGAGAGACATTACCAAGGAAGGAGAGAAGGGGGGAAATGGAAAGTTGTGGAGGAAATAAAACCCTTTCAGACATGAACTTCATCCTGTAAATGTTCTGTCAATTATGTGCTTGAAAAAGACCCTGAGTTGTTTACCCATAGAAGTCATTAAAATTGGATGGTACCCATAATATAAATTAGTCAAATTAACAGGAAAGCGTCACCACACACAGGGTTAAATATGCTTATTAGAATCCAGATGCTAATAAACCTTTCATTTAACTAACACGTCTGATGTACAAGATGATAAAATTAATGTAATAACCCATGATATCCAATTCATGTGGTCATTTTAATTAGTAGAGATGTTATTTTGGTGTCGGCATTACAACAACACTAATATTGATTTTCCTAATGAAAAAAAGGAAAATATATGAGCAAATATAGGAAGAGACAGCTAAAAACTAACTATCTTGTCAGTGTTTGGTGACGGTGACGGGGCTTCTTAACAGGTTATCACCTCTCATTCATTTTGTCTCTCATATCCATTTTGCAGATGTGAATGAGTGTGCGGGGAAGCCTTGCCTCAATGCTTATTCTTGCAAAAACTTGATTGGTGGATATCACTGTGCCTGTTTTCCTGGATGGGTGGGCCAGAACTGTGACATCAGTTAGTATCAATCCAGAAAATCACTATTCTTCAGCCTCTTTCCACCTACTTGTAGCGCTAAGAGAGCACAAGCCCTGACTTCTTTGCCGGCTACCTTCTGTTACTCATAGTTGTTTTGGACTATTCTGAGAAGTTACAATATATTCATGGTGTTTTTGTCCATAGTAATGTATTGTAATATTGCGTATATAATATTTTTTTACAAGCATTGAAACAGCTCTATACCTTTTGCGAGACTTTGACAAGATGCTAATAGCTAAGATTCTTTGGATATGTTGTTGCTAACATGACCAGTCATTCAATTTTTACCACATAGTAGTAAACACTCATTCATTTTAGAATTTTAACAGAAAACCACAGATGAATGGTTTACTACTGCTTCCATGACGGCTTGTCAGTATGCTAATGGTACAGTAGCATTGAAAAGGGATATGCCGTAGTTGAATGCTAGCAAAATAACCTAGCTTTTTTAGCTTAAAATGGCAATTTGTTCAAGAATCTTCTATGAGAAAATAATTTGAGCTAAAGATGCTAGTGAAACAGAAGTTAGTTAGCAAAGATAGTTGGACTTATAGTATAATCTCCATTTATTCGCTTGCCTCTTTGATGGCTGTTTATACCTGCCACACCCTGGCTTAACATTTCTTGGCTCTAGGGCTAAAACAGATTTTTCCTGACTGTCAAACCTGGCTTTAAAATCTTTTATAGAAAAACTTGTGGGGTAGTTCTTTTCTGCTTCAGCTTAGTTGCACTGTATGTTTTCACAGGTCATCTGAACCTCTGCATCTGGATCTGGCATTTCTTCTAGGCATGGATTGCTTTGCTTTGATGGCATCCATCACTTTCCTGTAGCAACTGCATGTTACATCACCAGTGCATGTTCCAATTCCCAGTTTGTCAAACTCAAACTAAAACTTGTGATTGATTTCTCCTCAGATAAAAACAGCTGCCATGGACAGTGTCAGAATGGAGGGACCTGCAAGGTGAGATCTTGAAATGTCAAATCTTGAGACAGTCTTTCTGGCTTCCAAAAACACTGAGGGAGATTTCCTTTTGTAATATTAGTGACTAAGTACAAAACAAAATAAGATGAAATACAGACTGCTTTTCATAGAATTAGCCAGTTACACACAGATAAAACAAGCTTTAATAAGTACTATATTGTCATTTCACAGGAAGTGCAAGTAAATATTCTGACACAAATATTTACTACCTGAATAAATGTTAAAACTAAAGCCAGAATAAATCAATGTCTTTAGTCATCCAGTAGTTTTTGGCCCATAGGTTAAACATTTATGTTATAAAATGAAAAATTATTTTTGTTGAGAAAAGCAGTTGTTTTAATTGACATTATATGTCTATAGATTGAAAATGGACTCTTCATGGACTTCTTTTTAGTTCTTGAAACAATACTGACATTGTTATAACTCCAAATATCCCCAAATGTCTCTCCAGCTTTACTGTTCATGTTCAGAATATGGCAGCAGCATACAATCATTTGCACTGTCATTTATTTACCAGCTAATTTGAAACTGTTAATTGTTTTTTTCTATAAAATGTCTGAAAAATGCCCAGAGCCCAGTTTTTTCCCCAAGAATCTAAAATCCAAAGCACTTCCACATACACTAACAGAATCAAATAATCAGTTATCAAAATTGTTGCTGAGACATTATTTTACACCAAATTATTCCTTCTGTACTTCAGAAACTCAGCATATTCCCTTAAAAGTCATTCAGACTATTAGAACAGTTTGCAGACATAAACATCCTGGGATGTTGTCTGAACAAAACCTGTGTTTCCTTTGTGATAAAGGACACGTAGTCACACTCACTCACTCTGTCACATCAGAGAATAAGCTCTGACACACTGATGATCATTTTCATAGCTTTCCGTCTTTGTTTCAGGGAGTGGCCAGAGGCTATCAGTGTGATTGCCAGCCCGGTTTCGTGGGTCGACACTGTGAGGTTCAGAGGAATCGCTGTGTCAGCAGTCCATGTAGGAACGGCGGTCACTGCCACGCCCTGCTGGATGGATTCATGTGTGAATGCCCTCGAGGGTTCAGCGGTACAACATGTGAGGTGAGGATTAGCTAATGAAATACAACATAAAAAGACATTTCACCTTCGGTGAAAACATGGCTTTACCTTTCCTGTTTCCCATCTGAAGGTGCAAAACGACCCATGCAGCTCAAACCCATGTCACAACAAGGCCCAGTGCCATAACCTGATGGGAGATTTCTACTGCAGCTGCTCAGATGACTATGAGGGCAGAACCTGCTCGGAGCTCAAGGACCACTGCAAGACCAACCAGTGTCAAGGTAACACAGCACTTATAGTGGATAAATGGGTTCTTATCCAAGTGTAGCACGAATTTTAGCAACATTTTGACAAAATCTACAAATGAAAATGTAAATTAATGTGTTTCCATCCACTACCAAGTGAATAGTAGGAGGGCAGCAGGATGACATTATTAGAAAAGCACCTGAGTCCAAAAGCAAATGACAAAAAATGACTGTAGACAATAGAGCAATATGGCATTTTTGTTTGTTTCATGTTTTCATTTGAGGAACATTACAATCTCCTCATCACTCCACACAGATCTGTTTTTGTCTGCCACTATTTTTCAGTCTTCAGTCGACATTGTCACATGCTTTTCTATTGCGCTGAAAATAAAAGACATTTTAACTTAACTCTGCTAACCATCTCTCTTTTCACCTTCTTTGCCCCAAAGTCATTGACAGTTGCACAGTTGCCGTGGCAACCAACAGCACCCAAAAGCATGTACAGCACATCTCGTCCAATGTGTGTGGACTCCACGGCCGCTGCATCAGCCTGCCTGCTGGGAACTTCAGCTGCTCCTGTGAGCCGGGATTCACTGGCACCTACTGCCACGAGAGTGAGTCACTATTAGCTCGACACGCACAAATGCACAGACTATTTTTATCATCAGTTACCGTCACTGGGAACCACATGATTATTATTGCATTTCATACTCTTGTTTCACTTACCATAATGTCTTTGTTTAGTTTACAGCAGAAGGAAAAATAAACACAAGAAGGAAATCCAAGGAAAAACATGAGCAGGAAGAAAAATCTTTCACATCCAGTAACCTTTTTGTAGTTTCTGGTTTTCTACTTTCACAGGATGCTTTTTAAATGTTGTTGTCAAGCTCACACAAACATTCACCTTTTTATAGTCTGTAGCAGGCAGAAAATAGTTTTTGCCTTTTGTGTGTTTACCTTTGACATGTCAAGGAGGCCAACATGGAGCCCCAGAGCTCACACTCCTGCTGCAGGTCAGCTGCGCTAGGATTCATCAGACAATATAACCATAACAAAAACTGAGCTGCAGCAATTTATTTGTAGCAACATAACAACAAAAGGCAATCTGAAATGGAAAAAAGATAAATATTTGGGATGTCTTTGATTTTATCCTTGTAAGAAAAAGTCTAAAAAATTACTCAAAGTGTGTGATATCTGCCCTCACTCTGTTTGCAGACATTAACGACTGTGCGTCATCCCCTTGTAAGAACGGAGGTACTTGCATCGATGGGATCAACTCCTTCAAATGTGTCTGCCCGGACGGCTGGGAGGGCAGCCTGTGTGATGTCGGTGAGTGCATGGGTGTGTAGCAGGGAACTGGGTTTTTGGGGTCAAATGTGAACAACAGCATGGATGTACTAGTTTTAGGGAAGAGTCTTGCTGTGTTACGCTGCTTAGGAGTCACATATGCACAGGAGTGATGGGCTGTCGGGGGATCTTATGGAAGACAAAACAGTGGAGGATTTGTTGAGATAAATGCAAGCAGAAAAATGTGGCAGCTTCATCAGATGACTGATTATAAATATGTTTTCTAACTTTCCATATGTCTGCAGTTGTGTACATTTGTCAGTTTGCACATTTGCAGATGACTCAATCACTTATATTAATGTTTAGAGGGATAGCTGCTCCAAAAGCTGAAATAATAAACAAGCTCATATGAGATTAATTGAACATAAAGCAAAATCTTTTCATTAAAGTGACTCACAATAGATAATCCTTCTTTTATGACCACAGCATTTTAGAGTAATTGCAAAGATCTCCACGCTGACTGTGCAAATGATGATATAAATGGAATATTTGTTCTCTTTGGTTTTCAGAACTAAACCCAACAAATATCAGTGTAACAATTTGAGAAATTTCCCATGACCCCGTCATATCAAAGAACCACATGTGGGGTCATGAGACTGTCGAGGAATGTAGCAATGTAAAGTCGGTACCTAAAATCACGACACTGACATACTGTTTGACTTTGTTCCAGATGTGAATGAGTGCAGCAGAAGCCCCTGCCAGAACGGAGGCCAGTGTGTTGATCTGCTCAATGACTTCTACTGCAACTGTGTGGACAACTGGAAAGGAAAGACTTGCCACTCACGTAAGTCAATATGCGTGTCAAAGGTTGCAAAGACATCTGTAACTATGTTTATATACAGACAGTGACAAATAAAAAGGAAAACCCTGAATCAATGAGTGGTCTCCTCCACGATGACCCCATCCGTAGTGCACAAGGGGTCACGGAATGAGCTGATGAGGATGACCATGGTGTGAATCAGATGCTGTGGTCTTCACAGTCACCAGGTCTCAGCCCAGTTGAACAGTTACGATGTTAGACGGCATCTCCACCGCCGTCATCAAAACACAGCATGAGAGAACATCTGTTGGAAGAACGGTGTTCATCCTTCCAGGAGGGTTCATAGACCTGGAGAGTCGGTGCCAAGGTGGAGCTGTCCTGGTGGCACCTGGTGGCCCAGCACCTCACTGGGACTGGGTCGTCCTTTCATCTGTCATCGTCTCTATGTATTTGGACGTCTTTGTGAAAGCAATTACAAAGAATAGACAAAATATACATGTCAGAGTTTAAGTTTGTTTGTATTATCCTTTTTCACCATATATGTACAGTACATAATATGTGTATGTATTTCTGTATCCAAGTCTCAGACAGGAAGAAGGGGCATCAAGCTTAAATAAGATGAATTATAATAAGCTGCAGTAGTTATTTTAATTGAGTCTATATGAGGCTGTCACGAGTGGAGTCCGTTGTACAGTGTATGTTCACTTTCCGTGTTCTCCGACAAGTCAGGTCTTATGTTTCTTAACCCCCTCAGTGTCTTAATCTTCTTTCTGAGTCACGATTCCGACACTGGCTGCTGTACAGGGTTGTTTTCCTCTCTGATGGTGGAACTGAAGTAATCCTTACACAACACTGGCACACAGTCAAGTGTTTGATATCTATTTCCTATGCTGCCTTGGTCCAGGTGAGAGCCAGTGCGACTCCACCACCTGCAGTAATGGGGGGACGTGTTACGACCATGGAGACTCCTTCCTGTGCAGCTGCGCCTCAGGCTGGGGTGGCAGCACCTGCAACACAGGTCAGACGCTCACTGCACTCTAATTACACAGTAATGGCACTAGTAATAATAGTGTGTGCGATGAGATATTACCCTGTTATGACCTGTCGGACTCTGCGATCTCAGACCAAAGAGCAGTTCTCCCACTGTGCACAGGTCAGACTAAGTCCACTTTCATATAAGGGAATTGTTTTTGTTTATACAGCTAAGAACAGCACATGTGACTCGGGTCCGTGCGAGAACGGAGGGACATGCGTTGGAGGAGGAGACACCTTCACCTGCATCTGCAAGGACGGCTGGGAGGGACCCACCTGTGCCCAGAGTACGTCACTGTTAGAGCTTCTGCCATGTTGGCATCATACATGATGGATGGTAGAGACGGGAACCCCTCCTGTATTTACAGCCTGACACCATTCACCTCACTGGACAAGTCAAGACAGTTGTATATTTGTAGAGTTGGTTGTGTGACGTTTTCTACCTGTTAATTAGTGTCAAGTTAGATAAATCAGGCCTTTTTGAAAATACTAGTTTCCGCATCATAATTGTGGCTTTATTGTTGATGTGAACACTATGTAAATTGGTAATTACGATAATGTTGATATGACACAAAAGCAGCATTAGATAGATTTATTTATTTGACAGTACTTAAGAGAAAGGCAAGCATGCAGTTGCTGATCTTTGTCAGTTAAATGTGACAGTAGTAAAGTGAAAACATTATTAATCAAAAGTGATGTAAGATACTTTTAGAATTTTTGATTAAGGTTTTTACAGTTGTTCTCAGTCTGCTGTCGGTTAGTAGATGTTGGTAGAGGAATTGTTGCAGTAAAGGAACTTTTTTTGCTTCTGAAACCTGAAGGAAACATCGCTGAGCAGCCATCTTGTTGCATTATTAAGGCAGTCCCTTATGCACCAGAGACAGTTGCAGAAATAGTAGAAATCACTTTCAGATGTCGGCGGGGACTGAAATGTGAAAGCTTCTGTTTTTTATTCTGTTTTGTGTTTTTCTTGCAGATGTTGATGACTGCAGTCCACACCCCTGGTAAGACAGAGTTCTCATTATCATACAGAAATATTTTGTTGGCCGTTACTGGCTGTGTAGAAAGTCCGGTGCTGTCTGGTTATTGTCTGTAAGCTGCAGCTTCTTGGAGTGGTTTCAGAAAAGCATAAATACACTAGAAACAGAAACTGTGATGAGTTTCTTCATATTTTCATGTGAAATCCTGATACAAAAACCCCCAAGTAGAGAAAAACAGGGAGGTGCATCTCCTGACAGCTTCTGTAGCCTGGACAAAAGCCTCCCCCTTGTTGCCCATGTTCTTTCCTCCTCACCCTCCACTACAATGACTGACAGGTGGATTAGTTGTGGTTTTGGTTTTGGGAGGAGAGGGAAGAGGGAGAAGGGGGCAGGGGAGTGTGAAGAGACATCCCTCTCGCCATTCACCGCCCTCGACCCGGGTGGAGTTCATAAGAGTGGAGGTGCTGGGGGGTGTGGGTGCACAGTATGTGATCAACAGGGATTTACATATGAAGTCTGGACATTGATCAGGGATCAGCTTCAGCCTGCTGTCGCTCAGAGTCTCTGCAAACTCTGCAGGGAAGAAAGTTTGTTTGTAGCTCAGAGGACAGAACACAAGACAGAGTGGCTTTGTATGGATCCATAATTCCTTCTATAGTCACCTATAAGTCTGTACAGGCAAAGATGTTTTCAAAGGACATTCTTAATAATTTCCTACAATCACATATAGCTGGTAACTAATCAAGAAGTTTTCTTGAAGGTCCTGTTGCATGTTTTAATCTCCTATAACATTTGATTACTCAGAAAACATCATATTAGATCATAGTTACACAGAAAAAGGAAGTTTGTGACATTGACCTTTACGTAAAACTTCCTGGGAAATGGACCCGTTCCTTATCATTTATTAGAAAATGAAGTCCAAACTATTCTAGTCGACTGTACAGTTTGCTAAACCGCTGGGATAGAGCATGGGATTCTGGGATGAAGAATCCTCTAAGTGGCAGACCCTAGTCCACTGTGGTCCATTTGTGAACTTTTTATTAGGTGGAGCCTGCGTGGTAAGGATATTTATTACAAGGATTAAAATAATTAAATAAATAATATGAACTTTTTTCCCAGGCAGGGAAGTTAACACCAAAACAGCTTTTCAGAAACATGAGCAAACCACGTTTCTGCTCTTCACGTGTTCTATTTAGGGCAAAACAAATATATGTTTAGACTAGTGCAAACAGAGCTGCTCATAGAGTTTTACTCTGTCAACTTTATTAACACATATCAAACATATTAACCAGACATCACTTTAATAAATGACTTCACTGAGGATGTCCTGCTAACTAACAAACACAAGAGGCCTGAAATGTTGTAAATGAATCTGATTTAAAATCGTGTTTAGACACGTTCCTTTAAGGTAGTACAACATCCAGCCATCTGTTAGGTGTGTTTATATTTTCAATGGAGAAGTCACAGAATTTCATACTGTCACTTACACATACAGTTCACCTGAAGTTTCCACTTGGATATACATTCACTGATTTACAGCTTTCTAAACCTGCAGTGTTTATACCTTCAGGGAACAATTCAGTTCGTCACTCTCTTTGTGAACCTCTTTCAGGTCTGCAGCAGCTGATCATTCAAGTGTTTCTGTCTGTCTCTCCTCTGCAGCTACAATGGCGGCATCTGTGTCGACGGTGTCAACTGGTTTCGCTGCGAGTGTGCCCCAGGCTTCGCCGGACCAGACTGCCGCATCAGTGAGTCCCTGGGAACCAGAGGGGTGTGTGGAGGGGTCAGGTGGGCGGGGGGTCAGAGGTGAAGGGCCGCGGCAGGGGAGTGTGAGCCCATTGTTTAAGGGCGACAGATTAGGAAGCCTTTCAGGAAGACGGTCTTAACCTCTCCTCTCTGCACTGAGTCGAGGTCAGATCTGAGGTGCGTCAGATGGGTCAGTGCGCTCTCCCGCGGCCCTTTGGGAGAAATCTCTTCAGAAAAGCCTTTTCAGAACCAGAGTGTTTTCCAGTTGAAGCATTTCAAACCAAACTGCTATAAAGCCATTGTGCAGATGGGGATTTTCTGAATTCCATCGCTCATTGAAGATTTTTAAATATGACAAATCTCTCAAAGCTGAGGTTCAGCTTCAACTAAGACCCCTGTGAAATGTATAATTTACAATGGAAAAACACATTATTCTGCTACTGAGAATATATTTATTTTGTATTGCTGATATACCTAAACAGAATGTACTGGTGCTCCTGTACATCAGCTTTCTTGTCTTTACTTCACATGATTAACAGGAATTTTATGACCAAAATCAAGGTTGTACTTTTTACCTTGACTGACCTGGATTGTCTGTTTAGCCTAAATTGGGCTTTGTGTCCTTTCAAAATAAGGTCCCATGAGTTAATAATTCTCTACATACAGTACGTGTTTGAACAACTCAGCGGTTTTCTTTTTCAGACATAGATGAGTGTCAGTCATCGCCTTGTGCCCAAGGCTCAACCTGCATGGATGAAATCAACGGCTACCGCTGTGTCTGTCCTCCGGGACACGCTGGGCCTCGCTGTCAGGAGTGTGAGTACATGGCATCAAACGTCAACATCCTAGCGCCACATTTAGGAACAAATGATTATGATTTAAAATATTTTGCCAGTGCCTCAGAAGTTCTTTTACAATCATCAACTGGACTTTACTCATGAAAACGTGGTAAAGCCGACCCAACCAGGCACCGATAATGACTGATACCAAAATGTTTGACCACAGAGGGTTTCTACCTGAGCTCACTTTAAAGTCATGGATCAAATAAAGAATTAATAATGCAACAAGTGTGTGGATAAATATCAGCTGACTGAGTAAAAACTAGGGATTTACATTTGACAGCCTCTTTTGTTTGCTCCAGTCATCAGACTTGGGAAGTCGTGTCCTCACGCCGGCCTGCAGTTTCCTCACGGCAGCAGGTGGGAGGAGGAGTGTAACACCTGCCAGTGCATCAACGGATATGTCCGCTGTTCCAAGGTCAGCCTCACAGAGTGGCTTCGCTGCCTCATATGTAGAACAGTAATCAGCTCCCGTTTGTCTGTTCATCATCGCTCTCCTTGACATTAGTGTTTTCTGAGCAACATGCCAGCTAAAGCGAGCAAACCACTGAAGCCATGTCCTTCTAGGTGAGGTGTGGTCGTCGGCCCTGCCTCCTTCCAAAGGCTCTTCCTCCTCCGGACATAAATGTTCCGTCCTGTCCTGGAGGTCACCAGTGTGTGGAGCACCAGTTCCTCACCTGCTTCTCGCCGCCATGCCACCACTGGGGTGTGTGCTCAACACCAGACCCCCCGACACCTGTGCACACCCAGTGTGAGCCCAACAGTGGTTACCTTGACAACAGCTGTGCCCACATCACACTCATCTTCAAAAAGGACAAAGTGCCACAGGTGAGGGAACTGACTATTTTTAACCATCTACAGGAAGCCAGCGGTGCCACTTTTAGGTGTGTGGTCCCTTAACATAAAACGTGCCTACTTGTGCCACCTTACCACAGGTTGATGAGCTACGATTAGAGCAAAGTGATACGTGTATATAGCAGATGAGGCTGTTGTTGTTCTTCTGTGTTGTTTTCATCCTTTTTCCTCCTCTGACAGTCTAATAATAGCTGATAGTGTGTCTAATGGTAAATACCACCTGCTGCCCAACCTGCCATGTAACCTCAACAGGACATTAAGAGGTTGTTCTTGTCTTTTCCCAGACAGTAAGTGCTAACTATGGAGGGAAAAATCTCAGTAAAGTTGTGGGTTTTATCATATTTGGATGTTTTCTGTAGGCAAAGGGGAGAAGGTAGGTATGAGGAAATAAAAGGAGGATGGTGAAGCAGTGGAGGAAGGACAGAGGAAAGATACACAGAGAGAAGTAAAGGAGCAGGAAGGAAAAGAAATAGGGACAGTCAGAAGACAAAGTAAAGAGACTAGAAACTCTGGAAAAACTTTGGAAGTGATGGGCAAAGCTTTAACAAAAGGTCATTTTATGAAGGGTGAAAATGCTGTGACTTCTGTGACAATCAGGTCGTCCAATCAGAGCGGCAGCTTCATGGCAACATTACTCCATAACCTGTAGAAGTCGCATGAAGCCTCTCTCTTTGTGTCTGTCTTGTTTGTCCTGGTGGTATTTCTTTTGCTTGCTGCTGTATCATGAAGCCTGAACCTTAATGAAAAGGTCTAAATGAAGTTTATGAATGGAAATGAATCTGTTCCTCTGACAAGATGCTGACCTGAGACCTTAGCCCCCGTCTCCCCCGCTGAGCGAGACATTCTGATCAGACATAGGAGGAATTAGAAGCTGTGTAGACACTAATCTGTCTTGTCTGTTTGTGTTGTGTGTGTGTCACAGGGCACCACTGTAGAAAACATCTGCTCCGAGCTGAGGTACCTCCCTGTGACTCAAACGCTGGCCGAGGAACGAGCGCTGCTCATCCTCTGTGACCTGTCCTACTCCAACAGTGATGCTGTTGAGGTTGCCATGGTGATTATTACACACATATACACACACCCTGCTATATAGTATTGGTCCAAAGGCCAATATTCAGTCTCCTGAGAGACATGCATGACTATTTAGCAACTAAATATTTAACTGTGCTCGCCAGCTAGTAGCTAATTGTTTCATTTGGGTGCTGGAAAGAGCAGCTGAGAGCAGTGAGCATGGCTGTAAAACCAAAACAGGGAGCTGAAAGACACTAAAATTTGAAGAGAGCTGTACATTTTTGTTTGTAACTACGTGCGATACCTTTCAGATTACACACAGCCAGATAATGAGACAGGCTGTAAACAAGCCAGCAGTTCATGCTCTTTATTTGGAGGTAACACTGAGGATTAGTGCACGTGACATGTCTTCAGTGATTCACAGTGACGACAACAACCACTTACACAGACACATCAGATTTGGAAGCTGCAGCCTTCTCTCCTTCTCACCCTACTTCCACCTCACGGTCCCTGTTTCCTTGCTCCACTTTATTAAATCACACTTAACTCATCACTGTAAATCATTTCCAGAGGAGTTCAGTAAAATCTGAATCATTTTCTATTTTCTGGTTTGTCACTCTTTGTTTAAAAAAAGGAAAATGAAGAAGAGGAGGAGGTGTTTAAAGCTTTTATCATCGGGAGGACATTTAGTGTTTCTGTTGGAACACCTTTCTGATCTGTCTCTTCTTCCTTTTCTTTCTCCATCTTTTTCATATTATGCATCTCCTCATTTCTCTCCTCCTCCTCGTCTTCCCTGTTTCACCACTCCTGATTTCATCTGCTCTCTTTAGTTTCTGTCTCCCTTACCCCCTCGCAGTGACTCTTTTTCTGTCTTTTCCACCCCTCTCCTTGTGCCCTCTTGTTTTTTTGTCTTTCTCTCTCCTCTTTCCTCGTGATTCCCTCCTCCTTTCTCTCTTGGCCACCCAGACTCGAGGGAAATCAGGCAGTTTGGGGCTCTAAGCTTTTAATGTTGGGGATTAGTTTTTGTTCCTCTTGTGTTTGCAGGCCTGTTTTGAGCGACCGATACAGGAAAAGGAGTGGTGAGCCTGACATGTACCCAAACCCCTCAACGAGGCTTTCATAAGAAACCTCACTCCCACTCGCTCCTGCCTCATGTTGCATCAAAATGTCATTGCTCATTTCCAAGTGTGGGTGAAATCTTTATCATCTCAGCGAGCCTTTCTGAGTGCATCCAGTTCTCATCCACCAAATCATTTCCATTTCTTCTCTTCCTACGACTCTGGGTGTGTTTATAAACCCCTGAACTGATCAGCAGGCCGCTCCGCTGCGAGGCCTCCAACCTGACCAAGCAACAAGCTGTTCAGTATGTGTGTGGATGTACAGTGAGGGATCACTGCTTTATCTCGACATATTGAGGCTACATCGGGATCTTCAGGTGGTTTTAACAGAGTGTCTGGATACATGCTGTTTGTTACACCAAGAGATTCGACTTTGATTTTTTTTCAGCACACAGATTCATCACAAAGTCCTTTAAACAGGTTCAATAGAGGTTTAATTAAGATGATAGATTAGAAGTCTTCAGTGCTTATTCACTTGCACTTTTATAAGGCAAGTAGACAAATGTCTTATAGTCAGCTAATCTTATGACAAGTCCCAAACAAAGAACAAACTGAATCCAACCATCTGATCCTGTTGAATCCCAGTAGCATGCACTGTGTATTGTATTCCTCTGTGCAGTTCCAGTGTTGTCCAGAAACTTAAAATACATCAGTGAGACACGTTTACATCACTGCTGATTCTGACTCAGTCCCACTTACACCATCCCACTGCCACAAATACTCTCTAAAGACCAAATGCAGATTCATCCACTGCTGAAAATAGTCCCCAACAAATGCAGTTTCCTTCTGTTTGATTAATCTTTACTAAAGTCCAGCTTTGTGTGTTTTCCCCTTGTGTAAAGTTTGTACACTGTAGCAGGGTGAAACTGTAAAGTGATGGCCATCATCAAAATGTACACTAATGCCGATACAGTACATTTGTGCATTAGGAGCAGAAGTGTCTTCACTACATAACTGTTTTTCCTCCACAAAAATACTGAATATTTATCAAAGTAAGTAAATCATTTCAAAAATACTTTGTGTGAAGGCAAAACTCAACTGCGGGGTGAAAAGTCTGCTGCTCCTTGGGGGCGACACAATGTGATAATGATTAGAGGCACCTCTCACCTCCGCACAACAAGTGGGAGCCATTGTTGGACACAGCCCCCTAGTTCTTCTGCCCAACAATCAGCCAACCACTTTGTCTGAAGCATGCTAACACCTTAAGGAGCATACAGCCTTGGTTTGATGCCAGCTGGGGCCTTTGTCTCCTCCCGCCCCCCTCCACCCATGTTTCCTGTCTGTACTGTCAACTCTCAAATGCAGGTATAAAATAACAATAACAACTATGTAAACCAAGCATTCAGTACCAACTGTTGGTACATAGTTATTTACACACACACACACACACACACACACCTGGCACACTTGGTTGGTAGTACCGATGTACTGAAGCTGGAGACTCGGCCCTGTGCCTGTCATGTCAGTCATTTTGGGGGGTGGGGTTAGAGGTGTGTGAATGAGCTGCCGATTTCCTCCGGAGAAGAAAAGAGGGGTGTTTGTCCCCGGCCGAGCAGGGAGCACAGCTGCCTGTTCTCTATTGTTTGTCTTAATTGAACTGCACAGCACACAGCTAATCCCCCTCGGCTCCCCACCACCCCCCTGCTCCCACCCTCAGCACCTTATTAGGCAATTAACTTTTTCTTCTCTTTTTGTTGTCCTCCATAGCCTGAAGCAAGACTATTTGGTAAATGGGCCTTATTTTCTTCCTCTATTGTACTGATTCAATCTGTGTTGACAGTTTCTTCACTAGACCTGGGGGTGTTGCCTGCTTCACCCATTATCTACAAATCCACTTTACTTTACATTATTGCAGACCATTTTTCACAAGGTTTCTGGGAGCAGTTGGCTTCCCTGGAATGAAAATCAACCTTCAAATAATCATGGCTTTAAGAGCAGGAGCTGCCTTTTGGTGAGGGCATGTTCCCACTAACGGAAACGTCTTTAATGTGACAAACCACCAAAGTCAGTCTTGCCATGGTGCCTGTGTTCTTGTTTGTCTTCTGATTTTAATAGCTTGTGAAAATCGGAATGCCGCATGTTGGAGCGTCCTTCACCACAATACAAAGCAGAAGTTTCAAAATGGCCCCCATGTGGCAGCTACACTACACACACTGATACTGTGGCTTTAGCCAAAAACCAAAGGCAGGGACAAGTTCTCACCGTTGTATTACTTGGCTGAGGAAAGTTGCTTTCTGCAAGCACTGATGGACTGTCATTATGTGTAATATGATTCTCCATACTGAATATTCCAGATTGGATGCATGAAGTAAAAACAGCGCTGTCTTGTCAGCTCTCACAGACCTGAACTTCCTCCAACTTATTCAAGTCTCAGCTATTAAAACAAGCAGTTCTTTTTCAACACACCCATTTCCTCCGCTTCTCTCCCCTCTCCATCTCTGCAGTCTTTTGAACAAGATGGGCGGTCAAAGGACAGTGATCGCGGACAGATCCAGAAGGCAGCCAGTGCCATCATCGGCGCCCTGTCCAAACGCCCCAACAGTACCATCATGCTAGCTGTGGTGGAGGTTAAAGTGGAGAGGCCGGTGGAAGCCCCACCTGTCGGTGAGTTATAGCTTAGTGGCAACAAGGTGGTGACCTCTGCTCCCCTCTGTTTTTGTTAGAGGAATGTTTTTTTCACATTTTACAGAAATTCACATTACACACCTTAGTTAATTCACACATCTTAGTTCTTGTACTGAGAACTACACTACAAGGTGATTTGTTTGCATTTACTACAAAGGCAGATATGATGTGGTGAGCTTAGTCTTAGTGTAGCACAGTGACTGGAACAAGAGGGAGTTTGCTTGTCCAGCTTCTCAAATTGTACCCCAGATGAACTAAAGCAGCTTATTTACATTTTGTGTGTATGTGTTTAATATATGTTGAGGGGTCTAAGCTGGTGATTACAAAGCAGTTTTTAATATCTCACACAGAGAGCATAAAATCATCAGCACCTCCTCTGACCTTCTCGTTCAGGTTACCTGGTCCCGGTGCTGTGCGTTGTCTTCAGCGTCCTCTGGATCTTCTGCATTGTTGTTTGTGTTTGGTGGACCCGCAAGAGGAAGAAAGAGCGTGAGAGAATGGCCCGATCTGACGACATGACGGTCAACAACCAGCTGCGGAGCAGCGCTTCCAAAGACAACCGTGACAAAGACATTCAGTACGAATGCAAGAAGCTGATGAGCCCCTCCGACAGGACATGTGATGGGGCTGAGGGTGATGAGGAAGGAGAGCGGGAGGAAGACGAAGAGGAGGAGGATCGCTCACTGGGCGTGGGGGACAAGTGTCCACCCCAGAAGTGTTCTATAGCAGGGGCACAGGGCGGAGGGATGATGGGTAAGGGAGGGGTCATCTGCACGACACGCAGCGGTCCGGTGAAGGCGCCACACCGGACGGTGTACAGCCCCAAAGACAACCGGTGTAAAAACCTGAACGCCGCCAAGCTCAGCGAGGACATTAAAGACCATTATGTATGAACATGTGAGAGGAGGAGGGACCTGCTGCATCAAAGAAAACAACCTGCAACGTCTTCAGCGAATTTTCAAACCTTAAAATCACCAAAAGTGAAGACAACAGATGCTTTAATTTGCTATTTTGTTTGTCACATCTTATTTAACCCTTAGGCTTATTTTACCAAAAAACAACGACAAAAGAAAAAGAAAAAACACATGGAAAACAAACGTTGCAGCTTCTGGATTTCAGTTCAATCGTCAGACTTTATTTTTCTGTTTACAAACTGTTGCCTCATCAGAACTAACGCTCGCGTTTTTAATTTGACTGTGGAGATCGAACCGAACATCACTGGTTGGCAGCTGTTAACGTGGCTTCTACTGTTCCTGTCTGCCTTAGCCCAACCTGTGGGCCTTTTCTACACTGTCTTGATTTCATGTCTTTTTATTGAAAAGAAAAAAAAAACTAAAAAAGGTTTTATATACACTTAAGATCACTGAAAGCTGTCGCAGATAATCCGCTGTATGATAGCTGGTAATTGTTTGTTTACATTTATAGACATCTTTTCCATTTTGGGTTGCGGCTTAAAGGCTTGTGATTTCCTCAGCTTCCTGCAAGTCGACATGTTTATATTTCAGAATTTTCTTTGGTAGAAAAGTGCCTTCAGTTGTTATTTTGTCTCCTGTTCTCTCCTCCTGTAGAGTTTATGTAGATTTAAAAGCATAAAAATGGAAAGATGTCCTAGTAACAACTCTTCATACCACAGTAAAGATTATTTTCTTTGTGATGTACATATGTGAATATGAAACAATGACTGTGTATATTTGAATTTAGTAACTTAAGTGATGCTTTGTATCATAGTTATTCTAAAGAATATGATCTTTGTGGTTCTTTTTTTTTTTATAATGTCATTCCGTTTATTAGTGTCCTTTGGCACTCTGTGGTTTTCGGACGGTGTCCTGGGACCCACTGAACTATGAGCACTGGTAAAAAGAGAAAACAGATCATGATCGCTTGTCTTGACGTGCTATGATTATCTGTTACAGCTGTTATTTAAGAAGACAGAGAGTTTGGAGAGCTGTTTATTAGGCCTGTCAGCGAGTCATGTCTCATACAGCTCTGGAGTCAGTGAACTGCCTTTCCAACAGTCCTGTTCATTTCATCTGAGACTTTCATAGCGAAATTTGACTTCAATTGTTTTTTTTGTTTTGTTTTAGCAAAACAGGTTCTAACTTATTATTTTAGCTCAGGCCACAGAAAATTCTTTGGGAAATACTGTGGCTCTTTTCTTACACATCCCACAGGCTGTATGTACAGTATGTAAATATTAAAAACACCCTGTTAGCATCATTTTCAGAAGCAGCAGCATGTTAGTACATAGGCTGGTATCACTGGGCGACCTGGCAGCAGGGCCTCGAGGAAATGGTGAAGCCAACAGGTCAGGTTCTCAGCCCAAGTCGAAACACTAAGCCCCTAGTTGCATATTTTAACACATACCTGACCACTGAAAAGTATAAATATAGATTGTTTTGTAATACTGGCACTGGAGTTAGATCCAGGTTTTTCTTCTGTAACATCACTTACAGTTACCTTAATCTTTGTCCAGAACCACTCCCTCATTCACTCGTGTAATACTCCCTTCATTACAAACACTGTTGCACTGTAGAAGTTATATATATAAAAACACTTGTTTCACATCAGACAGATGTAGTATGACACAGCTGAAAATCAGATCTCGGTCGTCAAATGAGAGGTCTGACTATGTCAGAAACAAAGGTGAAGCAGTGTGGAATTGTTTGGAGAAAAATGGCCCGCCACATTTCAGGATTTTTTGGTTTCCCTGAGTGGACTTTAAACCCAAAAAATATACTCAAGGATACACAATATGGCAGGATGCAACTATGGTACACCGGGTTGGAAAGTGGGACATATTTCAAATACAATTTTTTACTTTCTTTGATGTCATTGCATCTTTTTCTCCCCACCCATCTTTGTAAAATTTTAAAGTTAGTAGCTCCAGTGGAATTAAAAACTCCTATCTGTTAAAAATTACAAGTTCTTGATTGATATTTCTGAGAGGCCCTACTGCACGCTGCCATTATTCAATTCTAATTAGGAACTCCAAATGGCACAAAGGGAATTTGCCTTGTGCTGTGGTGGGGATTCAGGACTTGAACAAGTGCTGATGCATATGATTACTATTCTCAATACACACTTAAGGGTCATGGGATTCAAAGTACTTAGACACTCCTGCCATTTGTTTTACAGTCTGTTGACAGCAGAGAGGGCTCATAGGGCAGCAGGTTTTTTTGGGAGTATGAAAACCCTTCCTGTGCTGCAGGAGCCGCTTTCATGACTGTAGTCAACTACTCTGCTGAAGTGCCCTTTAGCAAGACACTGAATCCCAAGTATAGACTAATCAAACTGTGTGTGTTAAGTGGGAACCTCTCCTTGTGTATCTATTCTGGTCTAATGAAGGGAACAAGTTGTATTGTTGTTGACTGTTGTAGTTGTTGTCCAGTGTTTGTAAAGAGTCTGTGTTTCTGCACTAAGAGCACACAGGAAGAGGGACATTTTTAGCATTACCTCCACAGTGGTAGTGAGAAAAAAGTCAGTTATTGTCACTATTTGTGGATGAACATTGTTTTCAAAATTCTGTTTATGTTAACAATGCTGATGCAGACCATGGAAAAACTCATTAATTTTCTGTCACAAAACTTTACACTATGTTAGCCCTGGAGAAAGGGCTGAATGTGCAGAACATTGTAATTATTTTGTACAAAATTTGGTAAAAGTCTTGGTTTGTTAGTGGATTTTTTTTCCTTTGTTCTTAAAACAATCCTATTATTTATTAAAGTATTTTATACCAAGCTGTTTGAGACAAAGCTGCTTCTTGGCTGTTTTCATGGCACCCTTCTTTAAGCTCCGCCCCTTAGTTACTGTTACTATGTCTGTCACACTTCCCATTCTAAACTTCACTTAACATTTTGCGCCATGCCAAGACATATTAGCGCATGCGCAGCGGTTCGTCGACGACGCGCGTTCTGACGAATAGCCTACCTGCGGGTCTAGTGGCAACGAGGCGTCCAGTCAGGCAAGGAAGGAAAATGGAGAAACAGCTAATAATAGCTAATGTGTGTGTCCGAATTCCTGGACATAGGTTTTTCTTTTTTTTTTTTTTTTCTGAACAGAGGTACCGCAACTCTTCATTTTCACGTGACGTCACATCCGTGTAGGACCGCCCACCTGGAGGGCAAGCCAAGGCCTTCTTTCGCTGCCCGCCGCTTTTTGTTACCAGGTTTGTTTAGCCAAACTGCTGCATAGACATTGAGAAAACAGTTGTTGTTAGATTTCTAAGATATTGTGTTAAACATGACAAAATTATTACTGCTTTGTTACAAAAAACTGACTTCCGTTAACCCTAACGACCCACGGTTTCGTCAGGTATTAGCATTCAACCTTGCTTTAAAAATGTCCGTCATTTTCCCAAATAGCATAATTATTATTTCGCAGAGTATTGCGGGAGTGTGGCCCTGTTTATTTGAGCTTTAGAACGTAACCGCCGTGAAACAATAAGAAGATAACGTTTTCCCACACTGCTGTGTTTTGCTAGCTCATTCACAAGCTAATGTTAGCTAGCCCGACCACCGTTTGGGCACAAGGGACCCTGAGCCTTTGGTTCCTACCAACGAGCCGCGGGTTTTTGTCCTCCAGGGCTCTGTGGCAATCACATAACTGAAAAGCTATGGATAGACACCTGGGGAGGAAAGCCATGACATGGAAAACGATTTCCATTCAAGTAGACAGGTCAGGCAGTTTGTTGTAGGTACGCAGTGCGTGTAAACATACTGCAGGTTATGTTGCCCCGTAATAGCACCACAGACCTATAAAGTTTAACTGAGCTACAGGTTTACTTGATTTTTACAGGAAACATTACATTTGCTCTACATGTTTAGAGAACGAGTGTAAAAGGGCACCAGGTGTCTCGGACCGGAACCCCACTCAGTTTGGCAGATGTGCCAAGATGCAGCTGCTAATCGATGATTGATCAAAGTTTTGGTTTTGCTTCTTTAAAACTTGGTTCTTTCCACAGTAACGTGTTTGATTAAGAGAAGGTTTTTTGCAAGATGCACTAAAAGGTATTGTAAAGTTTTAGCAAGGCTTCCAAAAACCTGAAATTAACAAAGGGGTTACATTAGTTTGTTTTTCTTGTAGTTTTATATTCATTTTATAGGTTTCTGAAATTGTAAGTACTAAACATTTCCAAAATGTCATAAATTCTTCTTGTGTTTTAAAGCTTGATATCCAACAATTGGAAAATTCAGACTTAATTCTGTAGAGTTCCAAAGTAGCCAATCAGATGTCTCACTGCCTCCCGCCTCATTTAGCGCCGGTGAGTCCTCCTTGTGTCTCCATCTGCCCCTTTAATGACACTGTGGGAAATGATTAACATTAGACTGCTCTGCATGAAAGCCTTCCAGCAGCTGTGCTGGACATCCATAATGCTTGGTGGGACGTTATGCGCCGTGTTGTGTGTTCATTAACCCGGCAGTTGTTTTGGGAAGAATGGGAAACGTGTTTGGAATCCTGGATGGTGTGGTGCGCTGGCAATGTGCATGTACAGTGCGTGCTTGCTGACCTACTTGGAGAGAAGTACAATGAAAGAGAAGGCAAGGTGATGGCATAGGAGAAGGAGGAGTAATCAGTGAGGGCTTTAGGGTTGTGTGTTGTCCCATAATGCAGCATGTCAGCTGATACTAGATTCCTGCAGCAGCTGGCTTTATTGAAGGCTGTTGGTCCACGTGGGTTAATTTTTCCATCCTGCATTAGGGCATCACATTGTTTCAGTGCCAGAGAGTACGTAGAGATTTGCAGCTAAGTATTGATGTAAAGCAGGCCTGAGTCAAATAGTAGGTGTGAATGTTTTCAGCGTTTGAGCTTTAAAGTCCATTTATAACTTTGGAAATGGCAGTTGACAAAATAGTTTCACCACAAGGTTCATTTAGTAGTTGTTCTGGGGCTTTTGATAGGATCACATGGACTTCATCAGCACATGGAGGTTGCCTAGTTGTTGTTGTTTTTTTAGCATTTTAAAAGATTACTTAACAACATAGACACCATTTATTGTGCTTTTTCTTGTGTAATATTGTTGTACATCATTAAACACATGAATTTTATACTAGAGGTGTGTTAAATAAATCAAAACTTATACAATCTTAGAATGAAGCAGTTTACATGATGGCATGGACAAATGTTAAGCTGCTAATCATTTTAAGTCTGTTAGCATGCTTGGACAACACTAACTGTTGTAAAATGCTTAAGGAGAGAACATCATGGTTTCATGGTCCATTTAATGCTTGTCCTCTTGGATCATTTTAACAACCAAAGCTGTCTCCACAGTGATAAGATGAAGGATTTGCTTGATGTTTAACTGAATGTCTCACTTCTCCATCCACACAAACAACTCACTGGCAAATAATCTGCTGAGAAGATGGATGGCTGCAATTCCACAGTTAGCGGGGATGCAGCAGCAGCAGAGCCCCTTTGTTCCAGCTGAGTGCACCGGTTCACCGGAGCAAAGATGGATGAATGGGCAGATCTAAACATGGCAGTTCCACTCAAACTAACTGACGTTTGTTTTAAGGTTTATACTGTGGTTGCTGCATAGAGAAACTGTGGTATCGTAGTAAAGTCTTCCATCTACAACCCGGTTTTGAGATCTCTGCCCAAACATGCCCATCAGGACAATAGGCGTCGGTTGACAGGGGAGGATCCAAAGACGGGTAATGACCCTCACTGATACTGGGCTGTAATGACTCAGTCGTTAATGGGCAGTGTTGGCCTTCTAAGGACTGAAACGCCACAGAGGGGGATAAATATCTCCAACTCAACACCAGTCAGTCAGAACTGATGAAGCCTCTTGGATGAGAGGTGAAACGTCTTCGATCTAGAAATCCAAGTCCAGTTGATTTCCAAGGTTATTTCGGTTGTGGTTTACTATGACCTGGATGACTGAGAATCTGCACAGATATAGTAAAGTCCGAGGTATTCCCTGACCTGCTGGTCTGGCACCGCTCAGCTTTTAAACACAGTGACCCAGATATAATGATGCTCAGTGACTCTTCCCAGCCTCCTTTTGCTTCTCACACACACCTGCTTTCACCGAATGTTCAGCAGCATGTTTAGTCTCACATGCTCTAGAGATGATGAAATACTGCCACAGTTGCTGGACCGGGTCCCTGCAGGTCTGTGTCAGTAGCTCAGGTCCAAAACCTGCTCACAGCGCATGGCCTAATATTACTACAGTGTGACGTTTCTCACCACTGTAAGTTGTGTTTCTGTTAAAATGTTCTGAAAGAGGATTTTTAAAACGTTGGCTCAACAGAAGTGAATTAATGGATGTTCTTATCTTTCTGAACATATATGTAGGAGGATGTGATAAAGTGACATAACTGATCAAACAGCAGTAACTCAGATTTTTGTATTTCATTGTTGACTCACCTAAGGTGCCAGTTGTGGCATTTTAGTACATTTATTTTACTTGCATCCCAATTCTTTATAAAAAAAAATCTCTACTGTTGCACTGAACATGCTTGTAGTTGTTTAAAATGGATCCACTAGTTTTGTACGATATCTGGCTCTTGGTCCTGTGTGTTTGAATGCACTTTCTGTAAGTTGCTTTGGACAGTATCATCTGCCAAATGAATGTTATGCACTTTGTGTTCAGATCCACGTGTGGAGCTTTTAATCTGCTGCTTCGGCGGTAGAGGAGATAACATACCGGTACGTCTGGCTGTAGGTTGTTCGAACTTTGCGGGGATGTTGAAGTTAGCTGTTGAGATGATGTTAGCTGGTCAGTCAGCAGCTGCATTTTACTGTAGCTCAAACGACTGAATTCATTCACACAAATGGCTGTTTTTGTCTCATTCATCCCACTTGTTTCTCAGACACTACTTTATCAGCTGTTCCTTGTTTGATCTTTGCTAGTTTTGGCTACCACCTACAGTAACACAGTGCAAAATAAACAATGTACCATCTAACCACCATAGATTACTACAGTTTTGATTTTGGTTGGGAAATGTGAATTGATAGTTTCTGTTCTATTAAATTTTACACTTAGGTTTTAAATAGCACAAATGTCTTTGTTCATACAGATGATCAATTTACATCTAAGATCTGCTGGGCTCCATACAGCTCATGTCACATGTTTTAATGCCACACTGAGTGGCAGTCGCGGTGAGTCACTGCCTTGAGGAGCTGCTAACCCCACAGGAACTGAATCTGTTTCTGGGTTTGCCATTAGACATCACTATCAGTCTTCAAAACCTCATATCAGCCCTCATGTACCAAGCAAGCGTGTTAAAAGCGGATAGAGGCTCAGGGTGGGACAGCATGTTGGGAGGTGAGGGAAGCTTACACATGGATAAGGAGACGGGGGGGAAGCAGGAGTGCTCGGTAGAGCCTGTGAGCACAGCCAGAGAGCCGGATTCCTCCTCGGAGCGGCCACGCCTCGGCTTCTCTGCTGGCGGTGGGCCCTCCGACTCCTCCCAGGGTTAGGGCCGAGTCCACATGTTCAAACGGAGATGAAAGGCCCCCGGTAGGAAGGTTGACAGTGCCAATACCAACCGCCTGCCAAGTAAGCCCTGCTTAGCGTGCTCTCCCAGATGTTCTCAACACTGAATATTCTGCTGTTTGCCTCTCCTCGGAGACGAGGAGGGAGCCTCGGCTTGACCCCTTCACATCAAAGTGTGGAGGAGGACTCAAAACAATGAGCTCTGGTAGAGGAGTGAAAGTCTTATGTGTGCACTAAGAGGGAATCATTGATTTAGAAGGGTAAGAAGTAGGTTGGGCTCCTCATCAGAATAGCAGACATTAATGCCTGTATCCTGAGGGTATGTACTCAGAGAGCGAATAGGCCAAGACATACTTTGAGTCCACGCTCTCATGCGTTTGCTAATTTCCTCCATACAGTTCTGTACATACATACAGAGGGGCGTGTGAGTCCCAGTTCATCACACAGGAACATTTGCTTCACAGTAAGAAATATCCTTAATAAGGAAATGTAGTAATACACACGATTACATGTAAAAGTCCAACATTAAAATATTACTTTTTTTTTTCTTTTTTTAAACACACCAGATGCGCGTCCTTATGCAACCAACCCATTTACCTGGGCTCGGGGCCGGCAGCCCTAGTGGCTGTCAAATTATTGAAGTGGACAGTTTCCCTCTGAAGTGAATTACATGTATTGAGTAGCATAAAATGTACAAAATAGGTCCCGATACACCGCTGCTCACT